GAATTTGTGTGTAAACAATTGAGAAAAAACTGTAATTTGACATTTTGTCACTGATGTGTGTGTGTGTGGCAGGGTGCGTGTGTGGGTGTAAGGAGGGATCTGTGTTACTTTTCTTCATTGATATGTGTGTGCGTGTGTTGTTGTCTGTGGGTGTGAGAGAGGAGGGATCTGTGATCTGTATATAAAAGAAGTCAGTTGTGTCGAGACGTCACACGTAGCTGCACGGTGACAAAAAAAGAAAAATGTAAGTCTGGGTTTTTTTTGTTGCTTTCGTTTGTCTGTAATTTTGTACGCTTGCATTTTATAATTGTAATCATTTTTCGGTGGCCTCATAACTGGATTGTTTCATGGTAATACTGATTGAAATGTTGCCACTGTTGGAAGAAGAAAATGTGTGCTGTTGTTTGAAGGCAAGAAAGCCAACACAGCAAATCTGAGTTCCAAGAAATGAAAAGGAAATAATAGGAAATAAAATATTTACTTGAGTTGGTATGTGCGTGTGTGTGTGCGTGTGTGTGTGCGTGCGTGTGCGTGCGTGTGTGTGCGTGAGTGCGTGTTCAGGGATGTGTGTGTGTAATACTGAAAGTAGAGATTGCTCTACGATGAGAAGAAGCCTGAGGGCAAAAAAGAGACATTGCAGGATCAACGGGTAATGAAAGGTCAAATGCTTTACTTGCGTGTGTGCACATGCATGTGTGGGTGTGATTGTGCGTCACTGTTGAAGAGTCTGAGAACAAATGGGGAAATGAAAGGACTTCACTTGAGTGGTTGATAATTGATAATATGTATATATATATGTATATGTATATGTATATATATATATATATATATATATATATATATATATATATATATATATATATATATATATATATACTATTTATATAAATTAGTATATATACGTGCAGGGGCGACAGATACGTGGTGATACCGATACTCAGCGTGGCGGTTGCTTGTATTTGTTGCTGATCACAGAGAAAAACTCTCAATTTGATATTTGACTTTATATGACATACATCCACACACATATATCAATTTCTCTGATACTACATAATCATCGCGGTGGCGCGGTGGCTTGGACTTATTGCCTCACAGCCAGAAAGCCCTAGAGATCGAGTCCGCCCTGCCGCCTTTCTGTGTCTACCTGATTCTCATATCC